AGGAACTGTTTTGGAAGAGACTGTGGACCTGTCGTCTTGATAGAATGATGAATATATATATATAAATATATATATAAGTAAATTATATGAGGGCAAATGCTGAAGTCACTTTCATGAATAGTTTATTGCCCGCAAAAGTTTGGTTGGAAGCTTCTGCAACATCCACTGTACAGTCCCTATCTCTCACCAAGTGACTACCACCTGTCCTGGTCAATGAAGAGATGCTTTAGAGGATGTCAATTCAAATCAGGTTTTGAAGTCATGAAGGCTACAAGGACCTAAGTCTGGGCAAAGAGTACACAGTTCTTCCAAGATGGCATTAAAAAATCAGTGAATAGACGCAATAAATGTCTCAATGTGCAGGGCAATTATAAGGAAAAGTGAGTTTATTGTGAACTAAAATGCTGAATGTTTTTGTGGATTTATGTATGATACAACAGAAATAAATTTATGACAGTAACTTTCCAATCTACTCTCTACAAGATGGTTCTCCCAGACACTGTGCGCTGAACTGCAGATCAACTGACCCACAGGATATACCAACCACGATGTGGAAACATATGTCTCATACCTTACTACCTGCAGAATATGTCCTTGTTTTTTGTTTCCTCAACTGTACAAGTTGCTTTGCTAGAACTTTACATCCTTCATTGTTGCCTTCCCTTGCCAACTTCTTAATTTCCAATTCCTAGAAAAGGAAATAACATTAGTACAATTAGAGTTAATAAGACTTGAAAGAAACTGTAGAAGTGAACAAATTCACTAACCTATAACTTGCTAGTTCTTTGTGGCAGAGGGGTAATGAATAATGTGTGAAGATGTGATACAACAAAATTCGAACAATTTCATTATCGATTTAGTCTCAGTTGTTTCAATCAAGACTATGATGGCACCATTAAAGGAAAGAATGGAAAAGCATACAGTATATCACAAGTGGGAACATTAATGACAACTGCATAGTGTATACAACAGACATAAACATTAATGGACAAATCAGGCTCAAATTATAATCTGTTAGACAACTTAGCTTTGCCCACCCAAATTTTCATTTTCTTAACAGATTACCCTATATGAGGACATTCACTGAAGCTCACACTAGTGATGTAGGCTGACACATTAGACAGACTGAAGTCATGTAATTTTACTCACAAGCTGTGAGTGCAACAGCTAATAATGTAAGTACCCATTCAAAGAAAAGCACTTATAAATCGTATGAGAAATACATTCCATGACAAGTGGGTCCCTTGTCACCATGCCATGGCACATCCTCTGTTTGCAGATGGAGAAAACGGTCTCCAGATATGGACAGGAGCTATTAACATATTTAATAATCAGAGGAGTAGAGCTGACAAGGGATGATCCTCCAGACTGGAGGTTGGGCATGGTGCAAAGAACTCCTCACCATAAAAACTACCTTGTTACAAAATGTTACACAGGGCCTTGGACTTCAACAAATTCTTTGGAATAACCTAATCAATGGAGAATGGATATAAGATTTGGAAGGTAGAATGTAAGCAGTCAATCTATGGACAGGTTCACTGACAACAGTTCAAAGAGAATTAGCAAAGTATAAGTCAGATTTAGTAGAAGTACAGGAGATGGGACTGGATCAACAGGGGATACAGAAATGTAAATAAGGATCAGGAATTAGGAAGAGGCTTTTTTTATATATAAGGGAATCATATCAGCAATTAAAAGGGTAGAGTTTGCTACTGACAGGATGTCATACGATACAAAGGAGTCGCTGGTGTGATATTATTGTTCTGAATGTGCATGCTCCAATGGAGGATGAAACTCATAATACAAAGGACAACTTCTACAAGGAACTAGAGTGTGTATTTGATCAATTCCTTCAGTGCCATTTTTTTTTTTTTTAAGATTTCAATACCAAAAGGGGCAGTGAACATATTTTCAAACTGACAACTGGGAACGAGAGTTTACATGAAATTAGTAATGATCATGGTGTCAGTGTAGTATACTTGACCACATCCAAAAAAAAATTGAACTTTCAAGAGTACAATGTTCCCAAATAACAGCATTCACTTGTATCTGACGGGAAAACACAGAATCAGATTGATCACATTCTGACAGAGAACAGACAGCATTCAAGTATATCAGATGTCTGATCTTTCAGAGGAGCTGACTGAGATTTCACTTAGTGGGTCCAATTGGGTCCACTCGACACGGCGGCCACTGATTGGCTTATTCTAGCATGCCCTGGGTGATTATGATGGAGAATTTGGTGGAATGAAGATTGGCGGGGGAAACCGAAGTACTCGGAGAAAACCCGCCCCAGCGCCACTTTGACGACCACAAATCCCACTTGACCAGACCCGAGATCGAACCCGGACCGCCGCTGTGGGAAGCCAGCGACTAACCGCTTGAGCTATGGTGCGATCTAGCTGACAGTGATACTGAGCACTCTCTGGTGATTTCAAAAGTCAGGGAGAAACTGTCAGTAAGTAAACAACTAATTCAAAAGATTGATATGGAGATACGCATCTCAAGAAGCCAAACAAGGCAAACAATAAAATAACAGTATCTATTTAAAATTTCAGAGTGACACCTTTGGAAAATTTAGATATGAATTTGGACATCAACAGAGCTAGGAAAACTATTGGAGAGAGGATCAAATTTCAGCCGAGGACAGTCTAGGTTATTATGAATTGAAGCACCATAAGTCATGGTTTGATTAAGAAAGTTAAAAACTATAGCATTAAATGAAACTGCAGTGGTCACAGAATCCAAACCAAATAAATGGGCTATCTGAATAATGCAGGACATGAAGCCAGTTGACATTTCAGTAGCAAAAGAGGGAACGTAGAGGACAAAAATCCATGAGCTTGCAACAAACAGCAAGGATAAGATCATCAGAGACTTATATGGAGACAGAAATGAATTTAAGAACGTTACTGACCTAGAACTAACTTGGTAATGAATGAAAAAAATGATCTGTTTGTAGAGTCCCAGAACATTTTGAAAGATGAAAGAATTACTTTTTTCAGCCATTTAATGTACATTGGGTTAACGATACAGGCTTATGGAAATTCATACATAGCAACCAATCCTAATCCTTTTGAGACTGAGACTGCTATTGAACATTTTAAAGATATAAATTTCCACGTAGTGATCAAATTCTGGCAGAACTGATTCAAGCAGGAGGTGAAACATTAGGCTCTGGAATACACCAACTCATTCTTTTTATTTTGAATAAGGAAGAATTGCCTCAGGAGTGGGAGGAGTCTGTTATTGTACCCATTTACAAGGATGATGATGAGACTGACTGTACTGTTACTGAGGCATACCATCTTTTTGGATGTCATTTTTGACATAGTACAGGAATTGCTGACCACATTACTTGCATACATCACACAATGGGAAAAAGTAGGAACATAATGAGACATTACATCAGTTACTTACAGGTTTCAAAAAAGCCTATTATTCAGCTACGAGGGAAGTATCATACACTATTCTCACTCAAATTGATATATCCATGAAACTAGTTAAGCTTTTTAATAGATGTTTAAATGAGACCTGTGATAAAGTACATGTAGGTGAATATTTGAGATGTTTCCTACTAAAAATGGTCTGAAACAAGGAGACGCTTTACTGCCATTGCTTTTCAACTTTGCTTTAGAATAATGCCGTTAGGGAGGTCAAAAAAAACAGGTAGATCTCAATGGGACACATCAGCTGCTGGTCTATGTTGATCATGGTAATTTGTTGGGGACTAACATGAATACCACAAAGAAAAACACAGACGAAACTATGTACATGATGGCTCATCACCAGACTGCAAGGCAAAATTGTAACATAATGACAGATAACATATTCTTAGAAAATGCTGCACAGTTCAGATATTTTGGAACAACAGTAACAAATCGGAATTTTATTTATGAGAAAATTAAGAGGATTTGAGGTTTTCACTGCGGTGACTATGAAGAATGCCATCTTCTGAGATGTGGCGCCATTCACACAAGATCTATATGGAGCCACATCCCAGAAGATGGCATTCTTCAAAATTAAGAGTAGATTGAATTAGGATAATGCTTGCTACCATTCAGTTCAAAACCTCTGTCTTCTCATCTTCTGCCAAAAGAACGTAAGAAATAAAACATACAAATCTTTAAATTTGCCTGTAGTTTTCTATGGATGTGAAACTTTGTCTCTGACATTAAGAGAAGAACAAAGACTAAAGGTACTTGGGAACAGGTTGCTCAGGATAATACTTGGACCAAAGAGGGACGAAATGGTAGGTGATTGGGGAAGATTGCATAATGAGAAGCTTCATAACTTCTACTCTTTGCCAAATATAATTAAAATGATCTAATCAAGGAGGATGAGATGTGCAGTGCATGTAGCATGCATGGGAGCAAAGAGCAGTGCATACAGCGTTTTTGTAGGAAAATCTTAATGAATGAACCACTAGCCGACCTTGATGTAGATGAGAATAACATTAAAATGGATCTTGGAGAAACAGAATGGAGTTATGGGCTGGATTCATCTGGCTCATGACAGGGGCCAGTGGTGGGCTCTTCTGAGCATGGTAATGAAGCTGTAGGTTCCACAAAATGCTGAGAATTTGAGTGACTGAGAAACTGATGGCCTCTCAAGGAGGTCTCAGCTGTATGTAGTTTGTCAACCAAATACGTTTCAGGCAATGATTAAACATGGATCATATCATTGTGGTCATTGTCACTGTCACCGTCAGCAGCAGCAAAACACCCCCTTTTGAGCCACAGTCTTCCTTACGTCCCCAGACATTTCAAGTCTTTGGATTTTGCAAAAACAATTTTTTTTACAGAGAAAGGTCATCAGCCTTGTGTCCAACCTCCAACCCAGATGAAATAAAAATAAGCAAAACCTAACCACTAAAACTATATCAGGAAGTAGTATATGTGGGACACTAAAAGTAGCAATACTATTTTTTCTACTGTGTGACATCACTGAATACTGTTTGGTTGTCACAAGCAGACAGCTTAATGGGAAGGGAAGTTCCCAGAGCTAATGACTGATGGGTGTATAACCGGTGGGCCCAAGACTGGTTGATGAATTACATGACAGTTAAGCAGGGAAGTTAATTAAAACTCATTTGAGGGATAGACAGCAAAGAACAGTACTAAATAGCAATATTACAAGTGGTATATCAGAGTGGCAAAGTGTAAAACAGGGTGTCCCTCAGGGCTCTGTTCTGGGGCCATTGCTCTTTTTGATATACTCGTATATTAATGATTTGCCAAATATAATAAATAAAGAATCAAAACCAATTTTATTCGCTGATGACACCAGCATACTGTGCTGCATGTCAAATCTTAAAGAACCTGACATCGTCCTAAAAGAAACTCTTGAATCAATCAATAGATGGTTCTCTATAAACTCGTTAATTTTGAATTTAACTAAAACGAGTTGTGTCCAGTTTTAACAAAACCAAATGCACAAATAAACTTAAATATTAAACATGGTGATAACCAAATTAATAATATGAATACTTTGAAATTCCTTGGATTGACAATTGATAGTACTTTAACATGGAAGGAACATATCAAACAAACAGCCAGCAAACTGAGCTCGGCTTGTTATGCTATAAGAGTTTTAGTCTCAATATTGTCCCTAGAGAGCTTATTGATGATGTATAATGCCTACGTTCATTCTATAATGTCATATGGCATAATATTCTGGGGAAATTCAACATATAGTACCCATATATTTAAAATTCAAAAAAGAATAATTAGGGTAATAATGAAAGCAGGAAATAGTGACACTTGTCGGCCTCTATTTAAAAAATTAAACATTCTACCATTTTATTCACACTATATATTTTCAATATCAGTCTTCATAGTTAAAAACATGGACTGTATTTTGCAAATTCAGATATTCATAACATTTATACGAGACAAAGATTCGAACTACATTATCCAACTTATAAATCAACCAGGCTCAAAAGGGAGTATCTTACACTAGGATTAGAATATTTAATAAATTACCACATAGTATAAAAAATTTATTGCAAGATATAAATAAATTCAAATATTCCTTAAAAAATTTTTGCAGGTGGGCTCTTTTTATTCTTTAGATGAGTATTGTGAATGGAAAACAAGGGATGATTGTGTTAATTACAGACAAATAAAACAACATTAGTCATTTTTAAAAATTTATTGTAGGATACCTATAATTCTTTAGATATGCTTTTTCTCTATTATAGACAATGTTAATATGTATTTTATTATGATAATAAGTTGCAATGCAAGTGTTATATGCATGTTGTATTTAATTATAACATTCTATCAATCACTGTATCAACAGTTATTGCTACAATGTTTGGAAATATATGTTGTAATATCTTTAGGACGTTGTCCTCTGGATTAATTTTATTGTAACTTGGGCTTTGACGAGTTCTATATCTGGAGGCGCCATCGCCAAATGTAGATCTGATGAACAAAAATAAATTGAATTGAAGTGAATTGAACAGTCTGGAGTACTAAGTGTCAGTTTTTCCATAGAACGAAGAGTTTTACCTCCTAGAACATAATGCCTTAAAATATGCTGAAAGTAAACCACTGTTTTGAAAGAACATGTCACCTCCATCTTCAATGCTGTTCAATTGCCTATACAGAGTTGTATCCCCGAAGACAGAACTCTTCATAGCCACCGCTAAGAAAACATCAAATCTTTTCCATAGAAGATCTGTATTGGAACCTTTAAATGTAATTCATAAACATACCGAAGCTATTATAATAGAGTTAAGCTAGAACTGTTGGATGGGATATACTTGTTCCGATATCATACAAAATCTATCTTGACTTTGATTCTCTTAAGTGAATACAATTAAAAGAGTATACCATATATGATTTATTCCCATTAGAATGTGGTTACAAATATATCTTTCATCTTACCAAATTAAAAGTAAATATGTAATTCTTAGTGTTACAGTATTTTATTAGAGCCAACAGGCATACCAAACATTTTGAAACTTACTAATTTCTTTTCTTCTCGTTCCAGTCCTCTCCTGTCACGTTCTATGTCGCGCCCAACTTTTCTGAGTGATCTCTCAGTTTCGCGTTGCTGTTCTACAAGATAGTGTCAGCACATAAATAAAACAAATTTTATACATAAACATCTGTTTACCTTCAATGTCATAAATAAACTATTATACGGAGTCTAACCAAACAACATAACCTCAAACATCTACCTTCGACTGTAAGCTTTTTTCCAAAAATATTAAACATCTTAAGTGAAAATTTTTAATACAGAGTTCCTACATGTATTATTATATTCCCTTCGTCGTAAGTTATTACAAAGGCTAAGCACTATTTATTTTCTCTCACTGATCGCTTCAACCGTTACAAACATCAAGGTCATAATGGCTGTTCATTAATTGCATCATGTACGATCATGTGCTTCTGAATCACTATATAATTGCTTCGGCCATTTGCATTTTGTACCACATCACAGGAGAGACGCCTATATAATATAAAATTTCAAAGTAAAATCTACATTCCTACAAACATAATAATTTGACCAGAATTGATCCCGTCCCAACTTCATGTTTAAATCAACCGCCAAGGCACCTTGAACGTTTATGCTATTTTTTTATTCATGCAAGCTTACGGATTAGTGGGATGGGCGATGTATTTTATCTGCGAGTCCGTTCTATCTCGAGTTTTGGTGAAATGCGTTTTTCTACGTCTCGCATCGGTGAATGTTCTGATGGGCCCGAAATTTACGTATAATTGGAAGCAGGGATATTACAGTTCATATATATTGAAATGAGTGGGGATAGCGATTGGCTGGACGACCTTGGGATCGGAGTTCGAGTCCCGGTGGGGCAAGAATTTTCACTTCTTATGTCTTTCAGACCGACTCTGTGGCCCACACAAACTCCTATCCAATGGGTACCAGGGACTCTTTCCCCGGGGGTAAAGCAGCAGGGGCGTGAAGCTGACCACTCACCTCCAACTAGTGCCGAGGTCAAGAAAACGGTCTATACATCCATTCCCCTATACGCCTTCAGGGCGTAGTACTTGCTTAATGAAGTACACTGACAACTTTACCTTTTTTTTATATAAATTAAAACCTTAATTTGGGGTTCTCACAGGGGCAGTTATGAGAAGTTGTATCTCTCAGGATATAATCGCGTGCAGTCCATGGTGGGTCAACCAACGTTTCGGAGGTGCAATCCATTCCATCTTCGGGTTTGAAGTGCATGAAGTGGGTTTGATCAGAAACAGGGTACTAAAGTGGGAATTTTCAGGGGTGATGTTCGCGTGTCAAAATATGAAACTGAAATTATATTTAAAAGATGTTGCTCAGACAGTTTATAAGTGGTGAAATTGAAAAGCAGCATCTTCCTTCCTCCTTAGACAACTTGAGTCACTTTTATATTTTTTCATGCTTCAAATGAAATATAAAAAACTGATGACAAGCAATAATGAATGTCTGGAGCACAAATATTTGTGTGCACAAGAGGATATAGTTTTTGCTTTATTTTTTGTAACAGAGACATAATGTTGGTAACAGAATACAGATTTATTGCATCTGAAACACAATATTTCTAATCTGTACTCGAAGTACTTTCTTTTTACAAATTTTGCCTGTACTTTACACGTAACATACTTTCAGCTACAAATTTTACAAGAGTTGTCACATAAGTTATTTACAATATACTGGCACACTTGTACAAATAAGTATACCACAATCACAATATAAATCACATAACATACACAGTGGTACCCTCATTTTAATAAGAACAAAATGAACTGGTGTCTATCCTAAGACAAAGTATGGTCACTTTGTCCTTTCTTCACCAGTTCCCTCAGCAGAATGAATGACAATTGTCCTAAGATAAGGAATAACATAACTCCTGGTGTATGCCTCAAGTTATGACAAATTGTACATTCCTGTTATGGTTGCACAATTTTAAACAGTTTCTGCAATAATCTGTGTTTAACAATAAGTGTTACATTGACTAAGATTCCTTCAATATAATTATAAACAGCATTCCAAAATTGTGATCAATGTTTAAAGGCTTATCCATGGTATAAAATCCTGTAACAGCAGATGACAGAAATATTTGCATAATGAAAAATCAGCAATGAACTCTTCAGTCTTAAATGCCAAAAGAATCATAGAGCCACATACAGGGCCAAAAAGGAATATCTTGAGAAGATATGTAATGAGATTATAGAATTTCAAAGAACAGGACGTTATGATTTGATGTACATGAAGACAAAAGAACTAGGATGGAAAGAGAACCATGGATTCAAAATATTGGCATCGAAGACTCCCAGGGGAATAGAATAGAAGATCAGAGGCAAGTGCTGAAAATTTGGGAAGATTATATTGCAGAACTATACGATCGACCTAATCGGCCAGAAACCTTGGAAGTGGAACCCGAAGAAGAAGTAGATACAGACAAGAAAGGACCATATATTTTACAAAGTGAGGTGGAAAAAGCTATCAAGGAAATGAGGAAGGGAAAGGCTACAGGAGATGATGATGTACCTGGAGATGTGCTCAAGTTACTGGGAGAAGGTGGTTTGAAAACACTGACAAAACTAATGAACACCATATATGAAAGTGGAGAGTGGCCCAAGGACTTTACAGAAGTTACAATGATTGCCTTAAAGAAAAAGACAAAAGCTACAAAATGCAGCGACCATCGCACAATAAGTCTTATTGCACATACAGCAAAGATAATAGCAAAGATACTTAAAAGAAGAATTGAAAGGAAAATAGAGGATGTACTTGGAGAAGATCAGTTTGGATTTAGAAGAGGAAAAGGAACCAGGGATGCAATTGGAATGATGAGAGATAGATGAAGAACTGTGTGCTTGCTCTATAGACTGGCAGAAGGCATTTGACCGTGTAAATTGGACCAAATTAATGCAGATCCTAAAGGAAACAGGTATCGATTGGCGTGAAAGAAGATTGATTAGTAAATTGTACATGGGTCAGAAAGTTAGAGTGCAACTGGACAGAAGGGAGACAAGAAGTGTGAAGATTGGAAGAGGGGTCAGACAACGATGCTGTTTATCACCAATTTTGTTCAACTTGTACAGCTAATGCCTTACCCAAGAAGCTCTGGATGGGCCTGGAGACTTCAAATTAGGAGGGCAAATTATTCAAACTGTGAAATATGCAAATGACCTTGTGTTAATGGCTAAGGAAG